TGAAAGAAAGAAAAGATTTGTAGCTATTGAATATTGGCAGGTTTCATGTTTATACATTTGAATTTTAAGGAAAATCAGGACCAATATCGCTGGTTTTTTGTTTTTTTGTTTTTTTTTGAAAAAGAGGTACATTGAATTCTCTTCACCATTAGACATTTAACCAACAAGAATCTTCCCAGTCTATGTAATTCTTTACATACAGTAAATAATTGATAATTAACAAAAACTAAAAAGTATAACTTCTGAAGAATTACCCCTGTATAAATCCTAGGCAAAGAAAAAAGGTTAAACTGTGGAGCCTTAAGAGTTTAGAACCCAGAGAGCCTGGCAATTTTTTTTTCCTTTCTTTTTGAAAATTTTTTAGACAGGAAAGTCTTTGTTTTTAAATGTATCTGTGCATATATAGTGTTTATGATAATTTTTAAAGCACCTGTTTCCAAACAGAAACTGGAATGTCATACATAATAACAATAAACAAAAATTAAACCAAGCTGGGCTCTATGCCCAGAAAAACTATCTAGAGTCTCAGAACTTGGCCAAAAAAAAAAAAAAAGCTGGTGAAAAAGAAGCTAGAATCAGAGAATACTGGAGCTGGGTTGTGGGATGTGGGGGATGGGTGTGAAGCTTAGAAAGGCCTTATCCAACTCCTTTAAGATCAAGATCAAAAAACTGGGGTTCGGGGAAGGTGCTATTACCTTTTACCCCCACCTACCCTCCAATTAAGTAAGTTTGGTTCTAGCTAACTATGTTTGTTTTCGTTTTTGTTTTTAGTTTTAAAAAAGCCAAATCTCAAGAATAAATTCTACCAACCTAAGCCATTTTCACGTTATTAGAAGGAGTGAAATATGGAAGAGAGATTTGATCTTTTTTTCCTGCTTAGCCCTAGAGGCAAAACTAGAAGCAAAAGGCCATAATTGTAGAGAGACCTATGTCGGCCACATGAAGAGTTACATGGTGGTGCTCTGCAACAATAGAACACTGTCACAATTTGAACTTTCCAAAGTAGGATGAACCGCCTCTGAGGTGTATAGGAGGTACAAGCTACCTTCTCCTCAGTGTAGAGGGTTTCAAACAAAGGCCTACAGTAGAGGGAATTCTTTGTTCAAGGTGCTGGTTGGACCGACTGGTGTCTCAGGCCTCTTCCAACTTGAAATTCTGTGTGTAATAAATATTCCTTTGTGGAAACATCTGTCAGCTCACCCTGACCAGTGTCGTCAGTTTTACAAAGTTATAGTTGTAATGTTGCTGCCTTACAGCCTGATCCTGGGTTGTCTTTCTGAACTATTATAACACATTTGAATTACATGGGAAGAAATAGACCAGAAGGATCTGGAGTGTACTAGCAACCTTAAATAAAGGTAGAAGGAAAGGCTTCATGTTTCCCTGAAATGCCTAAAGACCATATGATTTACATAAACAAACAAGGAAATCCTCTTTGTGTATTTAGGGGTGTGTGTCTAATACAGGAAGCCATGCTTTCCTGTTATTGAAAGTTTCCTTTAATCTTTTAGGCACATTTCAAGACCTGCATGTGTTCAAGGTGTGTTGTTTCCTTTAGTCTTAAAACAGAGCAGTGGTTTTCTGGTTGTGGCTGTCTATCTCATTTGACTCTTATAGAAAATCCCTTTTTCATAGAAGAGGCAAATAAAGAATTTAAAACAGGTGGAAAGAACCAAGGATTGGGTTAAGAGAATGGCTGCTCCATATGAATGGTTTAGACCTAAAGCTATACTTTAGCCATTGTTATGAGACTATAAAATAATAACTGGAGACTATGGGTTTTATGAAAAGAATGAATATTCATCATTAATCAGCATGTTTTTATTAAGCTTTTACTATGTGCCTCTTATTGTCCTAACCCCTAGTGAGACAACCCTTGTCTTGGGGAGCTCACATTATATACTTTTCTGTAGAAATGATTTTATGAAGAAAAGCAAACCTGGAAATCATGTTGCTCAGGCAATTTCAGGGGATGAGCCAAGAGTTTCTTCAACAGGGGAATAAAAAACCAGTCAAATATTAGGCTAAGAGCAAAATGGAAATTTTCCAATGACATTTGGGAGAGTGAGGGGATAATCTCTAAGCCCAAGTATCCACTGAGCTAGAGATAGCTCCCTTCAGATACTCCCTTCAGAAAGACATAGCTTTTATTGTTCCTCTTTAGTCAAGATGTACTTATCCTTCTCCCCCACCCCACGAGGCATACAGAGGTTTAGTGACTTGCCCAGGGTCACATAGCTAATAAGTGTCAAGTGTCAGAGACCAGATTTGAACTCAGGTCCTCCTTGACTCCAGGGCGGGTGCTCTATCCACCGCAACACCTGGCTGCCCCTACTGACATAACTTTTAGCTATGGTGGTCTTTGGTAGTTTTCAAGTAGCTAAACTGTGTTGTGCCTTGATATGTGCAACAGAGAGCTTTTTTCAGTACTGCAGGCACCATGCTTGGTTTTAAGTTGTTATGAAATTGTTTCATTGAATGGAACCTATAATTGCTTTGCTTAGTAAATGATTGGCCATGATGCAGATGATATTCTAAGGTTTGTTGTTATTTTTGTTCAGTTATTTTTAGTCATGTCTGACTCTTTATGATTGCATTTGGGGTTTTCTTGGCAAAGATACTGGAGTGGTTTGCCATTTCCTTCTCCAGCTCATTTTATAGATGAGGAAACTGAGGCAAACAGGGTTAAATGACTTGCCCAGTGTCACATAGCTAGTAAGTGTCTGAGGCCAGATTTGAACTCAGGAAAAAGAATCTTCCTGACTCGAGGTCCAACACTATATCTGTTGTGCCACTGAGCTGTTTGAGAAAAAGCTATACTGACCATTCTCAAACTTCCTTGTAGGCAGATTATAAATTCTTTCGCTTATCCATAGGAAATTGTGCTCTCGGCTCTTTGATGACACGGAGTAAACCATCCCTAAAATCTACTTCCTTGAAAAACTGGATCTTCTTTTTTCTTTTATATATCTTACCCTCCACTCATTTCTTTTTCCTGAGTCCTGTTCCTTGCCCCTAAACTATGCTGAAATTACAGAGGGCAGAGCATCACACTGTAGAGAGCTTAGCAATTTTATGATGTCAAAATACAACTTAGTTGGGGAAACACTCTAGGCTGTTCAATTCCTTGGTTGATACCCTTCTTAAAAGATTAAGTGGATTCACAATCTCATCTTTTAATGGTCCAGATCAAACCCGATCCAATCGTTCTCATCCTTGGTGACTCCTGGATCCACCTGATGTGCTGGGGCCCTGCTCTAGGTCTCTTGACACTGTGTGGTTACCAGAGGAACATGTATAGCTTTGAACCAGAAGGAAGTAAAAAAAAAAAAAAAAAGGCCTTTTAGACATAGGAAAGCAGAATGGTATAATGGATAGTGAGATAGCCACAGAGTCTGATGCATATTGGCCGTATGACCACAGGCAAGTTACTTAACTTTTCAGTTCTCTAGGTGACTCCCTAAGACTATAAGTTGCAGAGAAGATACAGACTCATATTGGTAGACATTGTTTCCTCACCTGGGAATTCCCTGTACCAATGAAATAATTATATCTGTATGTATTTGTTTATATACAATCTATTTATAATATATGTGTATGTACCTATATACATAGGTATATACATATGTATATGTGTGAACAGTACATATATGGGTTGTGCATGCATATATACATGTGTGTTTATGCACATATATGTAGGTACATGTATTTTCAACTCATTTTTTATTTGTTATCATTTTAATAAAAAGAGGAAGTTTAGCAATAATTAGCTTACAAAGCCCTTTTTGTTCTATATCATTACAGGGTTACAACATGTATTTTTACCTCTTTTTTATAGAAGTAATTGAGACTCATGATCCTATATGATAGAGATGGGATATGAACCCAGGTTTTCATTACTAAGTTTGACACTATCCGTTTTGCTACACTACTTCTTTACAAAGGAGAGGGTTGCTCTGCCTGTACATCGTTTTGAGATGCGACATTACCCAGTATGAAAGTTAGAAATAATAAGGAGATGAAGAGATCAGGGAGGTGGAGGAAGATAGTGACATACCCATAATGAAGAATCCAGATAGCTTTGCAGCTTGTTTTAAATTTCATTTTCCAATAATAGTGGTCTTGTTATAGTGGTCTGTGATATGTTATAAAAATTCCAAGAACTGTAGATAAAAATCACATTAAATATAAACACAAGAATTCATTTGAAAACCAAATATAAATTTTTTTTCTATTATCTTTCATTTGCTTTCTTCAGACCTCTAGCTACTCTTTATTACTCAAGCTCAAGGTGATCCCTAAAGTCCCTTCAGATCCCCTGACTGTTCTTCTCTGAGATCATTGAGAGTTGACTGAGTTTCATTACAGGCTATATCCTCTCCCTTCTTGATTCTGAAATGAAACAAATTTGATCTCATCAGAGTTTTGCCTAGTTCTTTGCCATTTAACCTTTATATTCTGTGTGGGATACTTTATTGCCAGCCTCTGACCTACTCTGTTCACTTTAGGCATGTTAAAATCCTAGGAACACCTGGATCATTGTCTCGCCATTGCTGAAGACTGAGAATTTTGTAGTACAATACAAACTGGTGGCTAATTCCAGAAATCTGGGCTACCCCCACAGGAAACATTTTGCATTTTCCTTTAACACCTAACCCTAGATTTGCTGACTGATGCATCCTGACCCTGACCAGCCCTTCACTTTGCCTCCCTTTCACATAGACAGACTCTAACAGATTGTTTTACATATATAGTCATGTTGCTTTGTATTTGTCACATTGCACAAGCATGTTTCATCTCCCCCTGTAGATTGTAAAGGTTCAGGAGCCATGCCTTTATTTTTTTTTTCCTTCTTTTCCTCTTCCCTCAATACCTAGCACAATGTTTCATGTACTGTAGGAACTCATTAATTTCTTCTTTTTGGTGAGAATAAACAGAAGCACTAACCAGGAATGGTCTTTCTTGTTTGTATGTGTGTCTGTGTGTTTTTTTTCCTGCAGTGACAAACAAAAAGCCCACACAAGCATCTATCACAAAGGTCAAACAATTTGAAGGCTCCACATCTTTTGTACGAAGGTCTCAGTGGATGCTTGACCAGCTTCGCCAGGTTAATGGTATCGACCCCAACCGGGTGAGTGAAATGTTCAATGCTGAGTGAAGGAATTATAATCAGAAGGTGATTCCTTTTGATTTTCTATCCTCTGCCTTTTATTGGCAAGGCCTTTTTCATGATTTCATTTATATTGCAAAAACTTCTCTGGTCACAGCTCTTTTCGTTCAGGCAAATCCTAACATTTTTCATCTGTTATATAACTAGGACCTAACAGGGATCCCATTTGGAGGAGAAATTTTGACTTTAGTAGTTCAGGTAATCATGGTCATGACTCTTGTAACCCACTGCCAGCCAAGGAAGCATTAAATATATGCTGACAGGGGAGATGCTATGTTTGTCTCAGAAAATTACAGAAATTCCAAGACTTGTTTCAAATTCTGTGTTATGACTTACCTAGGTTTAAAAGGTCAAGTTTTTTATGGTAGAATTATCCAACCAGCAGTATATTACCTTTTCCCTGAAATAAAGAAAGAAAGCTGATTATAATGGATGACTAACATAGGTGATATTCACATCATGCATTAGCTTGAAGGGAAAGGGGAGGGTCTTTTGTGATGGGAGGTTATATGTATGATTAATAAGATGGGATGCAGAGAACTAAAATAATTCTTTTTCTGGAATGAAAAACCCTACAAATCCCAATTTCCAAGAAATGAATCATCTCTTAAGCAAGAAGAGTTTTAGACCCAGAGATGGAGGAGAGAGAGACCATTGCAGCCCCATCAAGTCCAACCCCTCATTTTACACATGAGAAAACTGAGGCTCACAGTTGTCTGAGGTGGAATTTAAACCTAGACTTTCCTGAGTCCCAGTCTAATATGCTATGCATTACTCTTTGGTGTTAGCTGATCTCTAAGAATATCCACAACTCCAATGAAGTTTGGTAGTGATGAAGTTTGATAGTAACGATAGTGATGATGTTAATAATAATGATAGCTAGTCTACACACGCACACACACACACACATACATACACATACATGTACATACACAGTTTAAGGTTTGCAAAGTTCTTTACAAATATTATTTTACTTAATCATTACAGCCTTGTAGGTAGCTACTATTTTCCCCATTTTATGGATGAGACTGAGGCTGAAAGATGTTAAGTAACTTGCTCAGGGTCTCAGCTAATAAACAACTGAGGGATGATTCAAACTCATGTCTTCCTGACTCCAGGTCTAACACTCTACCCGCTGCACCAGCTAGCATTATGTTCTTTGCATGCTAATAGCCTCCAGTGATTAGAACCAAATTCCCAGAAAATAGGTTGATCCTTTATGGCTTTCTTAGAAAGCAATGAATTGATAGCAGTAATTTTTAAAATTTAAAAAAATTTTTTTTTAGGAGTAATTTTTTAACAGGTAATAAGTGCTAGTTTTTCTGGTGTTTCTTCTCCAGGATTCTGCAGAATTTGATTTACTATTTGAAAATGCTTTTGATCAATGGGTGGCAAGCACAGCTTCAGAAAAATGCACCTTTTTCCAGATTCTCCATCATACTTGTCAGCGGTACCTCACAGACAAGAAACCAGAATTTATTAATTGTCAGTCCAAGATTATGGGAGGTAAGTGGAAGAAAGGTCTGCTGATCACTTTCTTGCCGTAGATTTCCTTTTATTAATGACTTAACCACTCAATGGAAAAAATTGCTGCTAGACAATATTGAGACTAGATAAAAGAAAAGTTGCCCTGGGATGTAGTACAAGCAGAATTTATTTTAGGGCGTTCCATCTTCTGATAAATCTTAATATTTTACTCTACTCTGATGGCTCTCAGGAGAACAAACTGTTTAGCTGAAGTAACTTAAATCTATATTGCTTTCCGCTAAGATCCTTCTAAGCCACTTTTCCTTTTTCTTTCTCTAGGGAACTGTCTAGTTTTTTTTAATGCATTTTTCTACTTCGCATGATAATTTTAAATATGTTAATACCAAACACTGCTCTATAGATAACATATAGCATCCTTTTTATTCTAACATCACTGATCTATTTACTCTAACAATTTTCTAATTCCTTCTTTTTTTCAAACAGCATAAATAGGATGGCTTATGTAAAGCTGAGTTCCCTTTGTGCGGGAAATCATTATCATTGTCAACATACTTACAACCCTGAGGTAACATACCTCTCTAGCAAGGCAAAGTAATGCTGCAGGCTCTGACACATGGTAGTATATCTTAAGGTGCTTCTAGAAATAACAGCATCGAGGAACCCTGACTTCTCTCTCCTTACTTTTTTTTTTTTCTAACTCAATGTGGCTAATGAGGTGGAAAAAGCTGGAGCAGGGTCATCCCTAGGGCAAAATTTTGAAGGAAGAAAGGCAGATGATTGCTTATGATTATAAAGAAATTCCTAACAAAGCTATCTGAAAAAAAGAATGACGTGCCTTAGGAGGTAATGAGTTCCCTTTCCCTGGAGATGTCCAAGCAAGGGTTAGAGATGAGCCTCTTAGGAATTACTATAAAAGGGATTCTTGTTTGGGACATGAAGTTGGAATAGTTGTCCTCTGAATCCTTCATATGCTGTGGTTTTGAGATGTTCAGGAAACAACTTTTTGAGCCTAGCCCATTTTCTTTTTATGGCTATTTTATTTATAGCAGCACTTTTCTATTTATAGAACACTCCTGGCTAACCTATGAATTAGACAGTGCAAATATCATTACTTTTATTTTACAGAAAAAGAAACTGAGGATTGTAGGGTTAAAATTCCTTGCTTATGATTATGTAGCTAGTAAATGACAGAACTAGAACATAAACCCACCTTGCCTTTGGCCTCCAATCCACTTTTCATCCACTAGGATCATTGTATCATAGGTCTAGAGCTGGAAAGAATTTTACAGGTCTTCTAGTCCAAACTCCTCATTTTAGAGATGGTGAAATGAGACCCAGAAAGGACAAGTGACTTACCCAAGATTTTGCAGGTTATAAATAAATGAACTGGGATTTGAACCATGGTCTTAACTCCAAATCCATACTCTATCCACTGTACCACAGCTGTCCCTTTAGGGACTTGTGACTGTATGACAAACGTACGATCACACTGGCAGAGTAGAGGAGATGAGGGCGTAGAGGCTTTTTCAACATATAACACCTCTTTGTTTTCTTTTTCACGCAGTCTTAAATTGGAAAGCAGAGCTTTGTATAAACTTATTTCTCGAACAAGTCTTCAATTGAGGATGACATTTAGAGACCAAGCATGTACACAAATCACTTGCTTATGTGGTAGAAAGTCTCTCAAATGAATATAGGGCAGAGTGTGTTATTCATCTGAGCTGATAAATATTAATACTTTGTACCCATTATCCAGCTGCATGCCCTATGGATAAAGGATTGTTCTATTCATCTTCATTATCAACTCTACTAAAGTAGATGTCACATTCCTCAGATAGGAAGACGTTAATGTCATCAGAACAGTAGGGAATTCTTCGCAGGAATGAAAGCCAAGTTTTCTGTAATTTAGCTTTTTGGCTCTAGATGGATATGAAAGATCATTAGCAGTGCATACTTTCATCACAGCGGGCACGTCCTATAATGCCATAATGAAAAATATTAGATGCTGTGGTTTTAATGTAAGAAAATATTAAAGGTCATTCAGGAAATTAATAGAATATAGATTTTCATATCATTGCCACTGATAAATATCTATAGGAAATTGACCTATTCAGTCTTCTCTCAATGTAGAAGATCAGAGAAAGTTATTGTCAAGGTCACACAGCCACTTACTACCCATATGACCCTGAGCAAGTCAGTTAACCTCTGTGGGCCTTGGTTTCCTCTTCTGTAAAATGCAGATGTTGGACTAGATGACCTCTTAGGTTTCTTCCTGCCATATATGTATAAACCTGTATTCATAGATTCAAAGGTCTGTTCAACAAATGCAGAAGTTTCCCTGAACCACCTGGTTTTTTCTTGTTCTCCACCAAGAAGATGGTTGTCTATTTTCAATATAAAATCTAGCCATTTCCTTTGTCATCTACTTTCTTGCTCATACATTTACCTCCTGGATACTGAATCCTATCTCTGATTGTCATGATGCATTCAACATTTTCTGATTAGGATAATAAATCATTCTAATAAGACAGCAGTACTCCTTAACTGCAGAGTCTCTATTGCAAATGTGGAATTGTAGACTTGGAACTTCTGATATTTGCCCTTGAAGCAGGACTCATCTTATAGATTCCTGTCTTTCCTTTTCCACTATGAATGCAGGATAGGAGTGAGAAAAAGAGGGGAACCCAGTGGTTTTCTTTTTCCTTCTTCCCTCAGAAGAAACTAGTAGTCTAGCTCCTACCCTCTCTATTACCTCCAGATCTCTTCCACCTTTTGTCTTTTTTCATATTTCTCATGTTAGAACCTAGTAATTATATTTCCCTATCCTTACTAGGTGGCACAACATATACAGTCCCAGGCCTGGAGTCAGGAAGGCTCATCCCCCTGAATTCAAATACAGCCTCAGACACTTATTAGCTGTGTGACCCTGGGCAAGTCACTTAACCCTGTTTGTCTGTTTCTTCATCTGTAAAATGAGCTGGAGAAGGAAATGGCAAACCACTTCAGTATCTTTGCCAAAAAAACCCCAAATGGGGTCACAATGTGTCAAACATGACTGAACAACAAATCCTTACTAAAACCTCACTGCAACTATAGTCTAGCCCCAGATTCACTTGCTCTCTTCCTGTCACTACCTTACCTGTTTGATCATGAATGTTGTGACATCTTGAATCCTCTCAAATCTTTGCAACATTCTACCCCCTGCTGTTTCTGACAATTATGAAGCCATCACAAAACCTATCCTTTTATACTTTTCTTTACTTTGACCCCCCCAACCCACACATAACTGTAATTGGTAGCCCTCTTACTCCAGACAATAGACACCACATCTCTGGGATGGGATGAAGCCAAACATAGTCTGTCTGCAGCAATGAAGAATAATTAGTAAATTTCTTTTAAAATTTTTAAAAATTTTTTAATTTTTTGTTTTTGTTTTTGTTTTTTTGGTAGGCAATGGGGTTAAGTGACTTGCCCAGGGTCACACAGCTAGTATGTGTCAACTGTCTGAGGCCAGATTTGAAATCAGGTCTTCCTCACTCCAGGGCAGGTGCTCTACCCACTGTGTCATCTAGCTGCCCCAGTAAATTTCTAAATTAGAGTTTTGTTTATAGCTATGTTGTGAAGCATCACTTGTTAATTTGAGAAAGTTCTGGTGTAACAATAGTGGCTTGTAGTCAAGAAAACCTAGGTTTATATTCTTCCTCTGATACTATCTACCTATGTGACCCTAGACAAGTCATTGAACCTTTTTACCTCAAGTAATTCCATTTGTCTTACCTTGTAGATCTTAGACAAGCTGTTATCTACATTAGTGGGAGTTCCCACTCTGAGCAACCATTAAACTGATAAAAATCATAAATTCTTCATGTTTGGTAGAAAAGATCCAATGGGTTGATTTGGGTGTCAGAATAGGAAGCTTGAATCAAGAACTATCAGAGAATTAATAATCTATAATTTACTGATGGGAATATATGGTTTTAGTCAATGTAGAACATCTTAATTGAACAGATGGTTGGTCCTGATTACAGAAATATAAATTGGACCCTAAAATATCAATTTGCTAATTTTCCTTTCCTGCTACAGGCTGTGACACATATAGAGCTTTGAACATCAAGAATTGTATGTTTCTCTGAAAAGGAATGCCTTAGGACAGCTAATTTATTCCCTGTCTTTGGGCATGAATACACCTAAGCCATCTTTAACAAATGGATGTCTGTCCTAATTTTCATAACCCCACTTGGTTCTAGTATGTGACACAAACCCATGTAACGGTGTATTATAATTATATAAATCAAATATATATAGACTGCAGCTGTTGTAAATGTAGTTGGATTACATCTTCCTTCAATTGGATTCCATAAAAGGATGTTTTGCTTGAAAATGTTAGGGAATACTTTACCTGCCTTACCCCTGAGTTTAGTAACAACAATGGCAACAACAACAGTGATGATGATGATGATGATGATAATTAATAATAATAATAATAACAACAACAACAATAGGATCACCAGTAATTTTGTTTTTACCGCCACCAATATCCTATACTACTACCTTATCCAGCACTGTGCTGGTAACACTGTGTTGTTGAAGGGTTTGCCAACTGAGTACAGCTCTGTCCTGTTCTCTCAAAGTGGAAAGGTATCAAGGATGGTCTGAGCAATGTTGTTTGCCCTCCAAGGGCCAACCTAACTAAGAACAGAGAGGCTCACCAGCATTAAGTTTGGTCACTTGGTATTGAATTCTTTGATCCTGGTATATTTTGTATATCTTATTGCTAGAATATAAGTTTTTAGTATGAGAAGATACCTCTCCTTGCTCATTTATGGAGATAGGAGAGCCATAGGTATAGAATGTTGCATATAATGTCAGATGTTTTTGACTCATACATAAATTTTGCTGATTTTTTTCTCTTCTTCTTTTTCTTTTTAAAATTAATTATTTGTATAAGAGATGAATTGCTGGAAGAGAGGAAGTATACAAGGGGAAATCTAGGTGATGTAAAAACAAAAGATATCAAT